TTAAGTTCATAGTTATGAATGTATTCCAGAAATACTTAAAAATGAATAGTTTATTAATAACGAATGTAGCAATATATTTGCGTATATTATGTTTTCCTTCTGAATAAATGACATATAAATGATAAGGCCTCCTTTTTATCAGTGTAATTTTTTTATTTACATGTCTAACTAATATTCACAAATTATTCAAAAAAGTATATATGGTGTAATCAAAATAGTGCTTTCTATTCTACGCGTCAATATGAACAACTTTCACTATAGATCTATCTTCCAAATCGCAAGAAAAATCAGGTCTTCCATATATTTTGAACAAGTTTGTACGAAATTTTGTATGGAATAACTGACTTTGAGATATTTTTTATAGGATCAGGGTGACAAACGAGCACTCAGTCCACCTGATGGTAAGTGGTTGCTGTGGCCCATTGACATATACATCTATCCTCGGTTACGAATCAAAATACAGATGCGTTGCAACCCCTAAGGACTAAGATGGAATGACTCGTTTCCAGTAAAAAGGGTCTCCGGTTCTCCACACTCACCATAGGAAACACAGCAGCGTTAAGCTGCTATTTTACACTGGTATTCTCTGAGAGCGTGGTCCTTCCCCGGTCGAGCAGACTAATTCGTGATACAACTATACCAGTAATATAGCTACAGTATGTGTCTATCACGTATGTAATTGAAAATTTCGAAGATGCTCCCATAATAAAAAATATTCAGTAATTAAGTACTATTTTGTTACACCTTTAGTTAGTATATAAGACTGGGGAAAAAGTTTCTTCGTATATTGTTTACAAATTCAAGACGTTTTTGTTTTAAAGTTTTATTACATTTAATTATAATATATATGGGTCCATTCTGTTCGATAATTTGTTGCCATCTTGTAGGTAGTGACATAATAAAAAATAAACGTTGCTGTAGAAATCTTGGGATTTTGATTTAAAAAAATGCGACAAGTAGTTTTATTTGATATATTCAATATCAGAGATTTGAAGGAACATAGATTTAGTCATCCCATTTATAATGGAAAAAAAATAATCAACTCCAGAAAGCTTTCTTTTAAAGAACACAAGCAACAAAAGAAAATAATGATTAAAACTTTTAAACCAGTTTTAAGTACTCAAGCAAATACTGGATTTTTAGGAATGTTAGTGTGTATTGAGAGCTCATGATAAACTTTCAATCTCACCATACACACAGCATCATTTTATTGCGTGTTAATCCAGGTTTCGTTTGGGGACAAAAAATTCTAGTTGACATAAACGGGAACACAATTTCTCGGCAGTTATTAGAATTGTTAGACAACGCACACATCTATATTCAGTGATTTAGACGAGCATTCGTTTGACAATGATTTACTGGACGATCATAAAAACTTGTCAATAAAGTTGATCAGCAAAGAGTTTTAAAAAATTAGGATTCACTACATTACCAAAAAGTTGTCTGCTTCGAAAGAAAAATTACGACATTTTTAAATAAAACAATTATTTTTAAAGGACAATAATTTATTTATTTATTTCGTATTATAATGTGCTGTACATAGAATTTGTGAGAAATAATAAAAAAATAAATATTTTTTCAATTTTATTGTTGTATTGATTAATCTCACTATTTCCAATTTGTATAAAAAGTACTATGTGGTTTTTATTAAGGTTGTGGTGCCAAGATTCACTAGCGCTCGATGTCTTTTCAGTAGTTTGGTTAAAAAAAATTAAAAACTCGAACGCTACTGAAATTACGGCCCAGCCCGCCGCGCCACCTTAGTATAATGATGATAGTCATGTAGAGATATTAAACTCTGAAAATCACAGACACCATATCACAAATCTGAGGATATGATTCCACGCTTTCATGATTACCATTGACAAAAATACAAGTACCGAAATCGACATTAATTATTTTTACTGGCACATCAGTAGTTAATACTCTTTTGTCTATGACAATATACGTTTTAATTATCTTCTTTTTTTTATAGGAGAGGGGGCAAACGAGCATGCGGCTCACCTGATGGTAAGTGACTACCGCCGCCCATGAACAACTGCAACACCAGGGAGGGAATTGCAGATGCGTTGCCGACCTTTTAAAAAGGAGTACGCTCTTTTCTTGAAGGTCCCTATGTCGTATCGGTCCGGAAAAATCGCTGATGGTAATTGATTCCACAAGGAAGTCGTGCGAGGAAGAAAACATCTTCTAAATTGCACAGTGGTGGACCGCCAATCATCCAGATGGTGTGGATGGTTCTTCTGTAAGGCATCTTAGTCGTCAGGGGTGAAAACACTTTTGTAGCTTTCTTTGTTTGAAGCTGACTGTAGGTGACCATGTATTGCAGTAGTCGTTTACCATCAAGGGATACTGTAAGTTCCTTTGTTTCTTTCGTTTTATAAAAAAAATATACATCATAAAGATGACGACAACAAGTTGTACACATTTGAACATGCGCAAACGAAATGAACTTATAGCAGCAAAATATATAATAAGGAACTACGCACGGGCATAAATAATGTGGGTATTGAAACAGAACGCAACTTTATTCTTTGAGCACTTCTATGAAAAAAAAAAAACATTTTTGTTCAATGTGTACAACATATAGTTATATTGCACTTAGAGTGTTAAATATTTGAATTGCACTTACGTGTAAAATGTATAATTTTGTGAATTTTCTTTTCTCGATGAACTGCATTCAGGTACGGCACACGTCATTATATTTAATCACACCTTTTAAAAACTTATTAATACTTCAAAATCAAAAATATCGCGAAAATAAGCGGGATTTGTTTTGTTAACTATTGAAGTCAGCCCGATACAGGCCTATAGCATATCCAACGTAAGCATATGCTATGCACTTTCTCTTTTACATTGCTAATCTAACGTAAGTATATACTAAATCTATGGAAGTACTATAATTATTTATTACGTAGACTAGACTAGACTAGACTAAACTTATAGCTACTAGTAGCGTAATATACTATAGTGTAAATGTAGATTAATGAAATTCGATGTCCGTCACAACAAAACATACCATTACTTAACATACTTTTGTTTTGTTATAAAAAGTGTTTTGCAAAGTAGAATATATCATACTTACGGCCGGTTCACACATGTCTCCGTTTTACTGTTCCGTTTTATCGTGTACGTTTTTTTTTCGTCGATGGCGTATGTAGTTGTATGAGCGACTTCACACATGGCACAGTATTCTTTATACAGTAAAAAATATCGTTCCGTAAAAAATGACATTCCGTTTTATCATCGAATACTGGACGACGGAACAGTAAAAATATACGAATACGTAGAATTTTAATTTTATTGTGCCTGGCGGGCGTTGTGTGCGGGGTGTAGGAGGAGGAGTGATGCGTCAGGTTTTTTTGAGTCACATTTTCTATTGTACATTCCTTTAGAACGCGCGCGTGCATTGTGTGTAATAATTATTATAATCACTGATCAACCATGTCAACCAAGGAGTGGGAAAAGTTAATAGACAAGGAAATGTTAATTAGTTTGGTGGAAAACTTGTTATGAAAAAGTGGAGACAGATGAGAGATGCCTGGGTGAGAACACTAAAAGATAAAAAGAATTGCAAGACGTCTGGTTCCGCTGTCTCAAACACGAAGCCCTACAAATACCATAATCAGGTGCTGTTTTTGAAAAAAGTAGTTGCTGCTGATGAAACGCACGAAAGCGTCTCTGCTAAACAAACTAAAGAATACACCGAAGATGACACCACGACATCGAATGAACCTACAAACGAAGATGACAGTATGTCTACAATGACACAACTTGACAATGACAGTCAAAAGGACAAATAAAATCTAGCCCCCCCGCCAAAACGCAGAGCACCAGCCAAAAGAAATTTTAATGAAATTGATGCCAAAATGATGTCCTACATTGACTATCAGATAAAACCGAAGAAAATTGAGCAGGATGATCGCAATTTATCTTTCTTTAAAGGTATTTTGCCGTCCTTGGCTTTGCTTGATGATGACCAAACTTTGGAATTCCAGTCAGGGGTGTTAAACCTATTACAAAATATTAAACATGAGAGTTGAAGAAACCACAGGAGAGTTGGCCTGTCAACTTATGACTGGTCAGCCTATACACAAACATCTGCTGCTAGTCACTATCAATCCCAGAGCTATTTTAGCAGACCACAGCCTACTGATAGTGCACTATCGCCAGTACAACCTCTATACAGTGATGCTAGCAGACCACAGTCTACTGATAGTGCACTATCGCCATTACAATCTGTATACAGTGATGCTATATTAGATCTGTCTGAGTTTTAAAAATAAAACTACGTACCTTAAAAATATCGCTGGTTTTTCTTGTGGGCAGATACTTCTTCTCCAACGAGTATCTTGCTTTTTTAAATCCTTTTCCAATAGTTTAAGAAGTTCATCAAAAGTAGACATTGACATACGAAAGTAATTGAAAAATTTCGATTCATCACCTCGTAACTGACTCATAAGTAAACTGTAAGCACCCTCTCTAGATCTTTGGGCCATAAGTGGATGCTGCCAATAACGTCGAATCTTCCTTCTCCGACGATAGTACCAATACAACACGACAGCATCCATCCTTGTGGAATAGCGGCGGTATACTGCGAGTTTTCTGTTCACACATCGCATCCAGTAATGACGGATTCGTTGAACGTTATACGGTGCCTATGTGTGAACAGAGCATAAATTTATGACGTATCCGTTAAAAACCTACCAGTAAAATGGACTTCCATGTGTGAACGGGCCTTTACTTTTGATTATCAGTGTTTACGCATATAATTTCCTTACATAACTCTCTCTCTCTTTCATTCCCTTACTTCATTTTTCACGTCTATGATCTTTTTTATTTTATCTGTAAAAACCGAAGCCGGGAGAACTGACGTTTGAACTCTTTTTTAGCATTTTTAGTCTATGACTTAGTGGTATGGTGGTCGATTTATCAATATTTTCCATATTTTCGTAACAGAATTTTAGCGGGAAGTTGAGGATTGAGATATATTATTAACAATGAGCGTTGAAGAAGATGTTATGAAAATTCAAAAGAAATTGACAAAGATGACATCAGATGATGGCACGGTATGTTTATCACCAAATATATTAAAATTTTAACAACTTTGACCAATTTATTGGTTGTTATATGAAAGCCATAATAGATATTTAGTCCTCGTACTATTTTAATACAGCACAACGCAATTATTTTTCAACATATTTGTAATATAATACCATACAATATTGTTAATGAAAACCTCTAATTTAATTTTAGGGTCAGGAAGAAGCCCTTGAATTATTGAAAACACTGCAAACAATGGCTATTAATCTGGATGTCCTAACAAAAACTAGGATAGGCATGACAGTCAACGCCTTACGAAAGTCCAGTAAGGATGAAGAAGTAATTTCACTCTGTAAAACATTGATTAAAAATTGGAAAAAATTTCTTTCCACTCCTACCACTCCTTCAAAAGATTCTGGCAGCTCATCTAAACCTAAAAAAGACTCCGGCAAAGATAAAGAGAAAAAGGAGGAGAAAGAAAAAGACAGGAAGTTGCCTGCATCGTTCCCCCCTCAATCAAATACCACTGACGCCGTAAGATTAAAATGCCGCGAACTATTAACACAGGCTTTAAAAACAGATGGTGAGAATCCTAATTCATGTGGATCTCCTGAGGAACTGGCCGAGGAACTGGAAGAGTGCATTTATGCTGAATTTAAGAACACTGATATGAGATACAAAAACAGAGTAAGATCAAGAGTTGCGAATTTGAAAGATCCTAAAAACCCTACATTACGTACTAATTTCTTAAATGGTGTTATATCAGCATCAAGACTTGCAAAAATGACCCCTGAAGAGATGGCTAGCGATGAAATGAAGAAGTTGAGAGAGAAGTTTATCAAGGAGGCTATAGATGATGCTCAATTGGCAACTGTACAGGGTACCAAAACTGATATGCTTAAGTGTGGCAAATGCAAAAAGAAGAATTGCACTTACAATCAGCTACAAACCAGAAGTTCTGATGAACCTATGACTACCTTTGTGCTTTGTAATGAGTGTGGCAACCGCTGGAAGTTCTGTTAAGTGCTTGGATTACTTAGATAAATAGTGTTCTTAAATTGTAAACAGTATAACATACTGTCATGTAACACGTACATAAACTACTATGAATTATGATATTTTGTTTCACACATTTGTTTGCAATGACTGCTATTATTTACTGACTGGAATCATGTTCAGTAGTTTAGGAAGTCTCAATTAATTTTAATAAATTAATCCGCTTCAAATGATAACTGATTTTATTTATTTAGAATTTTTATTCTATATTAATAGGGATAGTATGTAATAAAACTTTCAAGTATAGATATTTATGTATTTATCAATAATGTTGCTTACAACAACAGGAATGAGTCCTTTAGGACTAAGAATAAACATGTGTTTTATTAACTGGCACATTTTTACCAATTTCTATGACTATATTACAATATACATACACAGTCTTAGTACAAAACATGTTTTATTGGTACTCTGTGGTGTAAGTTATGGCTTAAGAAAATTTTAAGAAATTATTGAAAGTTTAAACCTGCAACTTAATAAACCACATTTTGTAATAAGATTAACAGTTTCTCTGGAGTCATTTCTAATTATTTATCTCTATTACTTAGATATAATATGTTTTATCAGCTTTTTCAAGTTATATTTTACATCCATTTTAGTTAGTATTATTGTCTGCATGTTACTGTGTTGCATAAATTTAAAATTGATAAGAACAAATATTGTATGAATGTTCAACAAAAGAAAGTAACTTTGGACTTTCATGAGACTGCATTTTAAAAACATCCAAATTTTGACTGACTTATTTTTCAAAAAAAAAATGATATAAAAGATGTTACTTGCAGTTTTAAACCTTTTTATTATATAAATCTGCATTGAAAGAAAAATGAAGCAATGCAAATTTGCAGTGGTATGTCCAAGTTTTAAATAGTTATACAATACATAGCAACAATATTATTAGTCTTAGAATATAACTTGGCTATTTTAATATATAGTGAAAATTTGGAGGCACATAAGTAATTATCAATATCTTCTTTGTGGTTTTAGTTATAAATGGTAAAAAGTAATAATACATATAAATATTGAATTTCATATCCTGAATTGCTATTAATCTAATATGGCAAGCTATACTTTGGTGAATATCAACAAGTTATTTTTGGCTCTCTTAAAGATCTAATGTCACATTATAATTTAACTTATGTTTATTCTAATTTGTTATCTAAATGCTGCTTTTACAACAAGTAAAACTAACTATTCTACCAATAATTCTCCTGTTTTTATTTTAACAAAAATTTTTTCATCATTGCACAAATCTGTTTTATTTTGCATATCTAATTTGAGATCAGTTGTATTACTTTCGTCATCCAATTTTGTAATAGTAAATCTAACATCTTCATTGGCCACATAACACTCAGGTGTAAGAGATTTCTGATAATTAAAATGTGTCTTCAAATGTTCCCGAAGGAAGTGTGCCTGAACCACAGCCAAGTCACAGAAGGAACATTTATGGTTTCCGTTGTTAAAAATGTCATTTTTATCATGCCTCCTATAATGGTTTCCCAGTGCATCTTGTCGCTGATTTGTATATGGACACAAGAAACATGGATGTAATTTTCGGTCTTTTGTAGGTGTAGTATCGGTTTGGTTTGCATCATTTGCAGTATTATTGAAAGAACTCCTGCGTTGTAATAGTCTCAAAGTTTGTTGATCACTGATTGAAAATTGTTGAAAGTCACTTTTTGGTATTCCTCTAGGCATAGTTTTAATAGCTAGTTTAATATTATCAGTACTTTCATCTTCTTTGTTTCCAGATGATTCCGTTTCTGGAACGCCATTGGTTTCTTTCCTTCTTTCAGCTAGAGCTTCATCATTCTTTTGATGTTTTCTCATATGTTGAACATAATTTGCATAATATTTGACAGAATAATCACAAAGTTCACACTTATATCTCTGTTTAGAACCATGTAGTGATAAGTGAATTTTATATTGCTCTCTTTTTTCAAAGGCTGATGGACATTTGTGGCATTTGTAACGTTTTTCTTTTTGGCGTCCATTTTTAAGATATGTTGGATATATAAACTCTGGGTTGCCATGCATCAAATATCCAAACTGAGGATCGGCTTGAAGTACAGGTGGAAAGTGATCGTTAGGTTTCACTAATTTATCTTTGTCATTCAAGACTCTTTTTTGTGCTTCAGTCTTTCTTTGAAATAGGTCAGTTCCCGATAAAGGAATTTTGTAGTCCATGTCCTCTCCGGATTCATAGTCACAAGTTGTTTTACCTTCTTTTTCGTGTAGTATTTCATGTTTGGCCAAATTTCCAATATTTTTAACAGCATAACTGCATTTTTTACATTTGTGTTCACCATCTCCACCATGTAGTCCCATATGATAATTCAGGGCTGAGGTCTTAAAGAATTTTGCTGGACACTCTTTGCATAGATATTGCTTTGGAACATGTTTTCCTTCATTAAATTTTCTATGTGAAGTGTTTATGACTTCATAATTGGTGCCGGGATTGGTTACAACCCAGGTTATTTCAGAAGTTGCTGGGCAATGAACAACCTCTAAACGAGGTTCAGTATGTGCTGGATGCGTATTGTGAATGAATTTAAGCATTTTAGTTTTAGTATGATATTCATCTGAGTGAACAAATGAGTGAGCAGCTAATTCACTTTCTTGTAAAACAGAAAATTCACAGCTTTTACATTTGTGTGTAAATGCGAGATCATGAAATTTGTCATGAACTTTTAGTTCACTCTCTGTAAAGTAACGAGTTGGACATTTCTGACAAAAATATAACGTTTTAATTTCTTTATTTTCAGTCCCTACATCATCTTTTGCAAATTCCTGTGTCACGTTTAATTTCTCTCTTTCTATAACTTTTCGTAATTTTGCTATCTGTTCATCATCTGGAATATCATCTTCAACGGGACAATAAATACGTCCATATATTTCACCATGTGTTTTAGAATGATCAGCTAATCTTCCAGCGTTATCGCAAGTAAATTTACAATCTAAACATTTATACACTAATATTTCGTTGTTTCCAAATACAATGCAGTGAATTTTCTCGTGATTGGGTATTTTGCATTTTTGAGTATTAACATATGAACAATAACGGCACTTATACATTTTATGAAATTCATTCTTTGCTGAAACCCATACATAGGGAATTTCTTCAAGGTTGAAATCTATTTTATTTTCTGTCTTGTAAGAATTCGTTGCGGCTGCTTCAAAGTCTGATTCCATTTCATTTTTTTTCGGCATTATACCGTGAACTCTCATATGTTGATGAAGTAGATGTCTTTTCGAAACGCTATAGTTACACTCTGGACATTTGTAAGGAGTGTCCGCAGGGAGACGATGAAATTGCTCGTGATACATGAATTGAGATTTACTGTTTGTTTCGTAAGGACATTCTATGCACTTGTGTCGCTTTGAAGCGCTCGATCCTTGCTGGTCAGGTAAAGGCGACTTGCAGCCCATTGCTTTTGCTATATAGTCTTCGGGGTCAGTTATACCATGTAGAACGAGATGTTGAACTAATTCCTGTTCATCTTTAACGAAGAAAGGACAGAAATAGCATTTAAATATTGATTGAGGCGAGGGTTGGTGTTGCTGCATGTGTATGATTAGCATGGTCCTGTCGTTAGTTTTAAATGGACACTTCGTACAAGACTCGGTAGTTGTTTCGTTTGTTGAACTCGAACTCTCTACTTTCGGTTTAACTGTAGTGATGACTTTTATTACTCCGTCGTGTTTCAGTCTACAATGTCTCTGAAATAAGATAAAATATAGTAAGCTAGGTACATATAACATTTGTGAAAATTACCTAACATAAACGCTCATTCAGATTTTTTCGGAAGTACAGATTAGAAATGAGTTGGGGGGGTGACTCGAACTTTAGGCCTAGTCGGTTTGAATAACCTATCATGTAGAGGATGTCATGGGGGTCATGGTTGAATAGGGGCACAAAGTTCTCATTACACTCCTAGGGGGTCAAAATGGCCAAAAACCAAAAAATTGGGGGTGGTTCGAACTTTAGGCATAGTCAGAAAATTAAAAATTCTTATTTTGGCTATAACTCCGCCTCCTTCGGACGTTCTTAAACAGTCTTTACTTCCCGCATCCCACTTGTTATTAATCTAGTAGTAATGTGTACTCCGATCAGAAAATTTAGTTACTTAATACGGATCTTAATTTTATGCACATCAATTACTTAGTACCTTTCAATAAAACTAAAAAGCGATGTACTTTTATGTATTCACTACAACAAAAAAGCGTGTACAAGTGTTACATCCTCTTCTTCTTCGTTCTTTAGTGAGTATAAATAAATATCTACCTGTATGACATGCTTCCAATTTGATAGTTGGTTGCAGTGACCACAACGGTACGCTAGGTCGGCAGGATCTGGTGTATTTTCAGTTTTTTTGTTCATAGAACTTTGAGATTTTGTGTCGTCCAAGCCAGATTCTGGTTTTGAATGTTCTCTGACATGTTCTAATAAAGCTTCTTTTGACGAGTCTCTGAAAATGGAGATTTTTCTTGTTATAATTTTGTTTGAGTAATAACGATATTTCTTATAAAAAGGTGATGATGATGATGAAGTCCTTACTACAGGACAGGCAGCGATGTACGCGAAAGGAAAGGTAAGGTGACAACCAATTTTGCTAAAGTGCAGCATTTGTTATTTATAATTAAAAACATGGCTTGAAAACTGTCTCCTGAGTATGCATTTGCTTTTGTAGGATTTTAGGAACAGAACACTATTACTACGTAGTACTATTATTAATTCTGTGCTATTACTCTCTAGTATAGGTATCGAATTCTTATAGGCATCAAATGACTGTGCGATATCCATAGAATTATTACGCATAGAATACTAGTACGCGCACCGAAAGTGAAGCAAGTAAAACTAACGCGAAACCGCGTTAGTTGACTCAGCGACGCGTCATTGCGCAACGTCACGTCTTACGGAGAAGAGCTCACGAAGAATTGTAAAAATTACCGTTTGTGTTGTAAAATAT